CGACTCCCCAAAAGTTTTTGGAACATGGTCGGAAATTTTAAAAAGTCTTTCATCCCTGAAAAGATAAGAGAGTAGTGGAGTAGGAGACGGCATTGTTTTACCAAGGTCAACCACTTTTACCCCAGCCAGCAGATTGACATGTGAAGAAAGGTTTATTGGGGGCTTCAATACTTTCGCTCCGCGGAAGAAAAAAATTTTCAACAAAATATCATTTACTGCATAAAAATTTTTTCCGCGCGGAAATTTATGAAAAAAGAGCGGAAGATATGGAAAAATCTGAAAAAAGCGGAAATCAGCGGATCCGCGGAAGAATCACATCCCTGTATATAATATTTCTCAACATATTTTGTATTTCTGAATCAAGAACATCCAGTTCCGTTGCAGCAGTTTTCGTCAATTTAGATTTTCTTAATTTCAAATCATCTATCCTTTCTTTTATTCCTTTTCTAGAAATTTCAGCTTTTTTAATTATCTTTGTTTTTTTTTTTTTTTTAGCTTCTAATGCATGTCTCCATCTTCTTCTAGATCCTTTTACAGTATCTAGCATTTTTTCATTAATGTCTACATATTTTATTCCGTTTATAAATGAAACATAATCCTACACACGCCTTTGTGAAATAATAGAGTCTTCATTGAGGTATTCAAACAATAAGCTTTTATTGATTGAAAACCCCCCTTCGACTGTTGCGTTACCATGAGAGAGGATAAAAACAATTTTTATAACTTCCCACAAATTTTCAAATTTTTTTTCTCCGTGCAAATACATCGAAAAAAATTATCTAATCTCTTTTGCTGTGGATTAAACTCTAAGAAACTCTTTTTCTCTTCTTTTTTTTTTCGGCAGCATCACAAAACAGTAAAAATTCCTTTTTTGATTTTTCTGCTGTTGTTTCAGCTACTATTGTCTGTAAACCAGTTATTCACACAAAAAGCAATAAACCTAGCAACCCTATCAAAAATTCCTTATCATTGAATAAACAGGAGGAAAATAGCTTACAGGACAGGTTCTACCAGGGAAAGAGGAATGTTATTATGAGGAAATTACATATTTTGAATTACTGAGTTTTTCCCTGAAACTTTATTTTTGCCTGTCAGCCTTTGAATGAACTATAGCTTTTTTTTTTATTTTCCTAACTTTATGAATATGTAAGAAAAATCCTGACTTTATGAATATGTAAGAAAAATCCTGACTTTTTAGCTTAATTTTAGAATATCCTGACTTTTGCAGGTTTTCCTGACCGTGTAGGAACCCTGAAAAACGAATATTTTAAAGGGTTTCTCCCCTATTATTGCACTTAAAATCATACTTGTTCATGTTTTAGAGCTTTAAACCTTTCTAGCCCCTCTATATAAAATTTAACAGTTAAATGACTCAATTTCCTTCTGTGGAGAGTTCCTTAAACTCTTGAGAAGAAGTTTAAAAGATTCACTGCGTTAGGGCTTCTTAATCCTCCCCACCTCACCCACTTTGGGACAAAACTAAGTTTAAATATTTTTATTGTTACGGAATACCTGAGGGAGGAAAAAGGGGTTGGAAACTGGTTCATCCAGAAAATAAGTTGAAAAATTGCAAAAGAGAAACACAAAAATGATTAGTAATTATAATTGTTTAATAATTCAAGTACACTTCAAAATCTCCTGCTTTTTAACTTTTGATCACACTAGTCTCTAAGAAGAAATTTAAAGGTTAGTGGGTGATCCCATAATTCATTTAAAAATTCTATAATATGATTGTATTGCTGATTGAAATCAATAATTTTTAAAATCACGTGAAAGAGACGAATCACTAATTGTGTAAATAAAAAAGTTCATCCTACAAGATTCGTTACTGCATTTTCAAAAATAAATAAATAAGTGTATGACCCCCGAATTCAAGACCATAAAAATTGGATAATATAAAATTGCTCATTAGGTTTCTTTTTTATGAAATGACTGAATTTCAGAAAGAAAATGAATCCTATGGGTAAAACTATATCCCTTAACCAAGTATATAATTAGTTGCCGGTTCCTAAATTAGAACTATCGAACTTTGGGATTTCAACTAGAATTATTAATTAAACAAAAAGATGTTGGATCAAAAGTTTGAATTTTTTGTTTCTTCAAATTTATTCTTCAAAAATCAACAATTGTATTCTTAGATAATGAGATGTTCTGCATACACAAAAATCAGGAATATCAAGACAAAAAACTGAAAATCAGAACAAATAAGGAAAAATAATTTTTCATGAGGAAAATGAGGACAACTATGAAACCTGCTGAATGTTTTTTAATTAGAAATTAAGAACAAGCAAAAATCAGAAATATCCAGACGAAATATTTTTCATCGGGAAAATCTATATTGCTACGAACCCCGACGAATGTCTGAATTAGATTTCTACTTAAGAACACACAAAATAAAAATACTTAATTTGTATTAAAAGTAAATTTATCAGTATATATTTATTAATAAATGTTGCATATATATATACCTCGTTCATCTTCCTTGTTATTATCACATAAACCATCTCTATAACCGCTTAAAGACTCTAAAAAATAAATTTTATTTCAGAGATCATTAAAACTAAAGATTTTCAGATAGAAAAATAGATATCACATAGGAATTACATTTCTTCAAGAGAAAACTGACAAGTTATATGAGTAATAAATACTACTGCATTTAAGTTAATATATAATAAAAGGAAACTAAGACACATTTTTATTCAAAAATATTTTAAAAAAACTACATAATGAAGAAAATATTTGAAATGAAAATACCTAATGAAAAAATTCCTACAATGAATTTGAAATGCTAAGTAAATTAAAAATGTAATAACACAGTCAGATACAAGTAAAATGCTTAAGTAAATTTCTTTTACATCTAATATTTTCTATGACCTCAATTATTTCTTTTCATTGCTAAACAAATGTTCAGAAAATACATATTACAATATATCATCCATGCTTCACTTTTTTTTTTTTGCAATGATGAACAACATAGCATTTAGATTTGAAAATAAATAAATTCATAGAGTTGGAACTACTTCAAGAGTTTTGAGAACAAAATACTAACAAACATTTATGCTCCTAGCCCAGATGTTCACAATTAATTAAATAATGCGTCCACATTTAAACATTGCAGCTTTAAGTGCAATACCTAAGTAAAAATGAGCATTATTGAAAGGGTGAAAAGGTGAGGCATTTATAAAGAGCAAAACAATGCAAATCATGATTTACAGCTGTGGAACCACAAATGCAGGATGAAGTTCAAATTTCAATGAATAGATTTTGCAAGAATTAAAACAGTTTCTTCTCCTGGATCATATTGTTGCTATTCAAAACAATGATAGTGATAACAAGTAAAGAAATTTAGTTCTTGCCTTCATATAATGAATGGAAATGCTCATTTTGTGACTGATAAGAGTTTTTAAAAACCGTGTAGTGTATGTACAGAAAACTCCTTATAAGAACAACTAATTCACACATTTTGAACATTGTTTTGTATATTCTTTTTTCAATGTTGTATGAACTCCGGAGTTAAAAGTCTGCTTGTACCTGTTTTATTTTAGACTACTGCCTTTCCAACACCAAGAAGCAACAAAAAAAATTGACAGATTTTTTCATACAGAAATAATATATATAGATATATAAAAGAAGAAAATGTGAAAAACTTACTAATAATAGATAATAATAGGCAGTAAAATGTATCATTTATATTAAAAAGATCAATGATTTAAGACTTGCAAATTATTTGTGAACTCGCTTATCTACAGTTTGTGGGACACTCAATGCCGCGGATAATCGCTAGTTTACTGTGTAATTCAACCAGATAAATTGCTTCTATGTTAATTTGTGACAAACAAAAGGAAAAACAATTAGAGTCATAGTGAATGCAAGTGTGAACTCACACTTATCAGATTCATATTCTGTTGCAAGACAAGAAAAAACCCTAATCCCTATGGAGAGAGCCTGTTTTCAACTAAGTGCACTTTAAATTAATGCCAAGCTCCCAGTGTAAACGTAGATCAATATCGCCAACTCTTGAATCAACATTGCACAGCCTCCTTTTTTATTGCTTACATATTTCTTTTTAATAATCGCAACAGTTATTAACAATAATAATCAATTAACAAGTAATAAGAATTAATAAAAATGGCATCTATAAATTGTAACAAATATACGCCTTTCTGTTCACATCACCTGGATTACCTGAAATTTCAATGCTCCTAAAATTAATTACTTATGGATATTTTTCTAATGTCTTTATCAAAATTATCTCAATAAGTATAATTTATAAAAATGTGGTCATAAAAATTTATTGAAAGGAGTTAAATAGTCGATAATTTATTCAAAACTGAAGATTGGAAAAAAATTTTACTGTAATGAATTTTTTTTTTTTTTTTAAATTGTCAAATATTTTAAATGAATGCATGAAACAATACTAACTTTCATGCTTAAAAAAAATGAAAGCTGGAGAGAAAAGTTGACAATTAAACTTAATATGCTTCTATACAATAGCATAACATAAATATTATTTGCCCACAAATATATGTATACAAGAAAATTTTAGAAATAAGTATGTTGATTTCATTAACAGCTTTTGCAAATAAACACCAAAAACAATTTGGAAAAAATTGTAAATTATATTCAGATTCAAATTGATTTCATTAAGACAAACAATAATACCCAGAAGTAGCCCTAAAATTTTTCATACATATCTTGCCGAAAAGTTAAAAATAAATAATTATTACAAAAGGTTAAAAAAAAAAGTTTAAAATAAGGCTGTAAACTAAGTTCAAAAGTTAGCTTTTGAAGAGAAAAACATGCCCACAAATTATGCTGCTTAACCTCTACTTTAAGTATGTGTAGAGGCTTGGGAAAAAAGTTATTTTTAGATTATTCAACAAATTGGATCCTTTCCATCGCATGCAACATAAAAATAGATCTCAACCACGAGGTAGGGAAACAGTAATAGAGGGAAAAAAACAAATCAGCTATACAAAAAAAATATGGTGCTTGCTGCCAAACACTCTGAAAGATTATAAGATATCTTAATAAAATATTTTTGAAAGCAAGTAAAATATTAAGTTGCTCTGAAAAAGGTGACTACATCATGTGAAAGTCATAAATTATAACATTGAAAATTCAAATCGTATGGAAAAATTAAAGAAAGCAGGAGGATTCTTTATTTTTTTAATTTAAAGATAATTAACTGTAATATTTAATTAAAAAATTTTTAGGCACGTTATTAAATATAAAATTTTACAAATACAGTATATTTACATACCTTATTAGTATATGGATTAAAACTTGGACAGTCTTATTATAAATAAATTCTCAGTAAAAAAATTTTCCTCAGAAACAAATCTATCACAAGAGCTAACATTTTTTAAAATTAAAATTATTGTTGCAGTTTCTATAAGAAAAAATTGTTTATATTCTTATCTCAAACAAATAATTAAAACTTAGAGCACAATTTAAAATGAATTAAAAGAACTGTCAATAATGCATTTTTTATAAATCTTTTTCTTTCAGGGAATGCTAGAGGGGCGAGACATAATTTAAAAGACACAGCAGTATCGTTGCTGTTCAGATTAAAATTTCTCCACATATTCTGGTAGTGGTGTTAACACGTCAAATATTTCCTTTACTGGGACGAAGCATTTCCTGACCATTGCATGACTTAACTGAGAGTCTACTGTAATGACACATAGATTAAATTATATTGTAATACAATGAAGACTGAAACATTTACATGATATGCCAAAAGTTTCATTTTTTCCAGGTGATAAAGCGGCCTTCGAAATATATTATTAATTTTAATTAAGATTAAAATATTTCTAAATAATTTAAAATATTACTTTGATTCAAGTACTGAACAGTAAAATAAGTTTGTGCTACATGGTGAAAGAAGAGATTTGACTACCAATCAGAATAAAGATCAATTAAAAAAAATACCAATTAAACCAATTAAAAAAAATACCAAAAAATAAAAACCATAAAAAAAAATCAGAGGAAATGAAACAAACATTTAATTTTCAAACAACTTTTTGTATTTATCACTATTTCACTATCAGAAGTAAAATGTATAATTGATTGGTTTCCTGGCAAAAACCAATTAGTATTTTAACACAACAGTAAAATGCATAAAATTATTTAATTAATTAGTAATAAAACAAAACAAATAGTAATAGTAGTAAAGTAATAAATAAAATTTCTCAAAACAAACACATAATTTTGACAATGTAAGTAATAAATACAATTGTAAAAATATAATTAAATAAAAAACGCAAAGTAAGAGAAAGTAATTTAAAATAAATCACTAAAGAGAAAGTAATTTAAAATAAATCACTTTGAAGCAACACATATAAAAAATAATATATGAAGCAAAACAATGGAAGCATTTGAAAAAAAAAACAGTTTAGAAAAAATATTGATTTATTNAAAAAAAAAAAAAAAAAAAAGAAGACAGAAAACAGTTTAGAAAAAATATTGATTTATTTTGGCTTTTGATGTCATTTATTTAATTTAAAATTAATATATAAATGAATAAATAAAACATTTTTATGTATGGTAAACATGCTAAATGCATTTTTAATCTTCTATAAAACCAAAAGAGATACAAAGAGATAGATTAATTTGAAAAATGTAAAACAAAGTATCCTCTTGCAACAACTGATTTCAGGCAAAGAGAGTCATGTCGGCTAAGGATTCACAATATGGCCAACATTGCCCACTAGTACAAATCGCTTGTTTCCAAACTGCATAAAATATTACATAGGTTGGTTAAAATTATATTCTCGCAACAACTGATTTTAGGTCAAGAATTGTACCAATATGGTTAACACTGCCCACTAATACCCATTATTTGGTTCCAAGCTGGATAAAATATTCCATAGGTTGGATTCAAGCCACCACTAAGGATCTAACATTAAATTTTATTTATCCAAAAAAAAAAAATATATATTATTCTGGATAAAAATTAAATGTAAATTGTTAGTTTAATAATCAGTCAAAAAAATTCCTTTAAAATATTTGCAACTGCAGTTAAAAAAATATATATAAATGAATTTTTCGACACACAAAATTTTTCATAGAAATCTCTTAAAAAACTGTATAGTAAATAATAAGAAATTGAAAAAATCTAAAATATATATGATCAATATTTGATTATAGTATTTATGCATGAAAATATAACATACTAAAATACAATATATTAATATTAATTGCATTTACAAAACCAAAGTAAGATATATATTAGACAACTTAAAATGGTCAAATACGGTACAAAAAGCAGACAATGTATTAAACATGAACAATATTTTAAACACTAAAACAAAATAGCAAGTAAAGCTTTTGTACCATTGATCAGAATTGATATTTTATTTAGCAAACCCATTTGAAAAAACTATTAGTTTATTCATCAGATATACTATATTTTTGATACTATCGAATTTTGTTTTATTTAATTCTATTAATTCATGATAGTGAAACTCCCGAAGGAAATGTGGGCAAAAAGATTTATGCAGAGCATTACATTTCCATTATAGAAAGAAAAAATTCAAATGTTGTTCATACAGCCAAATTCTACCTTCAAAGTTAACAGATATATGTGTGTATATATATATCTTTTTCAGGTACATAATATCTCAAAAATTATTATGCATGCATAAAAATAATGGAGAAAAAGAGTAAATTATATAAAAAATTATTACTTATTTCCCAAAACCCTTTTACTGAATAACATTTGAAAAAAATAATAATAAATTAGAAAACTTTTAAAATTATTACTTTGTTTACAAGGTAATTTATTTACAAATCTAGTTTAATGTCAGGTAATGCATGTTTTTGTACAGGTATATCTTTTATTCACTCATATTTTTAAAAAAATTCCATTTTCCAATTAACAGGGATGGACATGAAGATAATTCAAACGAACGGTATCACTGTTCGGACATAATGAAAAAATAAAACTAAAGGAATTTCTATAGCTAATGCTATTAGGGAGAATTTTAATCTTCTTTTTAATGGGGCATCAGGGATCTGATTAAGTTTCAGTTAGTTATTTACACAATCATATTTCAAAAAAAGGTAGCCTTTTCATACATGTACCAACAAAATAATTCATTGAAAAAACAATGAATTAAAAAACAAAAGTGGATAACTTGCACATAAATGTGAATTTTAGAATGTTTATTTATTTATATATGCAATCACATTGGTTGAAAACTATAACTATTTATATTTGCTTAAGAAAAATTTGGGTTATCTGCAACAGAGAATTTTAAAATATCCATAATAATAAAATTTGGCATAAAATATTTTATGAATTAATTTTAAATGCTTAAATTGCAGAAAACATTTTTTAATTACAGCAGAGCCCTGATTAACCGCGGCATGGGGTGACAAGAGCATCACAGATAATAAAAATTGCTGAAACTCAAAAAGGTTGTAACACACAAAATAATTTAAAAATACATTCAGAGATATGTATATGTTTTAAACTTACAACAGTTATCTTTATTCTGTGTCTAAATGACTGAAACAACGAATGGTTAAGGAAAAAATAGCACATAAATACATCATAAAAGTGTTCAGTTACACTTTTTTTTTTAAAAAATCCATCATTCGTTTTTGTTTCAAGATTTCTTCGCGGAACTTGGGAATAATTGAGACTCTACTTTATTATCATTTTATTTTTTAAACAGTGGGCTCAGAACACTCGTTCCTTGCCTCGGGAGATGCTGGAAGCTTTTTAAAGTTGTCCGGTGGGTACCTGTGAACCTAAGTCACAGAGGCAAGCAGCATTACCCACACCACACATATCATTCATAGGGTGAGAGACATTCACACAACAGAAGAAAAAAATCCATGCCCTGAGCAGGATTCAAACCTGCAACCATTAGCTTCGCAGTCAGGCATGCTGAAAGCTCTACTGTATTATTAAAAATGCAAAAATACTTGCCATGGCTTAGTATAAAATTGGCCAGATACAAGTCAAGTTCTCGGACGGAGACATTGATGTGGTATGGATTTACACAAAGATTTGGATGGAGGCACTCTGGTGACTTTTCTAGACGCTCTCCATCAGTACTCTCTAAAGGAATTGCTTTAAATAGGATTACCATGACAAGATCTAACCGCCACACCTTTAAAACACAAAATAGAAACATAAGTAATATAATTTATTTTATTTTGTTAATTTTACACTTAATTACAGCTTTAAAAGTTCATACACAGCTAGCAATGGCAAACAAAAGTGTAAGGACATGCGAGTTGAATTCCTTAAATAAGATGTCCTTGAAAGGAAGAGTGTAATATACTAAAATATGGCAACAACAAAAAATTAAAAATTTACTATTTGTATTTACTAATCTATATTTTTATTATAATATGGTGGTTTATATTTTTTTAATTCAAGTAGAAATTATTCTTTGGTGAAATTCTTTGGTTTATTCTTTGGTGAAATTCTTTGGTATTCTTTGGTTTTTTTTTTTTTTAAATTTAAAGAATATTTCAATTTCAATGGCTCTAAAACTTATTGAGTATGAGGAAATTAGTTTAAAAATCATACTTTCACAGCAGCCAACATGGGTAGGAAAAAATCCAATAAATGTTACCAAATAATATAAATTTCATGATAATTGTTGCATAATGTACTAAATATTTTACACACTGAGAATTTTAGAGATTTTTATAGGCGTCAAAAAAGAAAAACTGCAATACTTTCCAGTCATGATTGGCATTAAATATGTTTGAAATGCTGTGTATTATGTTTACTCATAATTTTGAGTAGCAATAGGCATTTAATTCAGAAAAAAATAATTAAGATGTTCTAATTAACTTTTTTTTTAATGGCGGGTAATTTTTTTTAATGGGATGTATTGTCCCATTGGCCTCTTAATGCCAGAACTGCTATTCTCTTCTCATTACCCAGTGGGCACCTGTGGCGAAGCCACAGCGGTGGAGCAGCGTCATCCACGTCACACAACCACAAACCAGTCTAATTAACTTAAAAATGGAATTCTGAATAAAAACTGAACATTCTAGTACAAAAAGAAAGTTTTAAACTGACTTCTATAAATGAGGTTTGCTTCATTATGTATTAGCAATACTTATTTCAATATTCAAGCAAGCAAGCAAAAATCAGCACAAAAATTCTACTTCAATAGGGATTATTTTAGGAAACTTCATCAATTTTAGGGATTTTTCTAAAATGTACAAAACCAGGAGAACCAGTAGACCAGGAGATACTGGCAAAATCCAATAGTCTACTGGAAAATCAGTAAAGTTGGGAGCTATTTACTTTATTTTTGATAAAACAGTTTTCTTCAATCAAATGTTACTTGAGAAAGTATTAGTTTTAAAAGTTTCAGTATCTTTGTTCATCAATTGCATGCCTGAGACTGTTATCTCTGTCAACCTCACCTGCACACCATTGAGCTGGGTATTTGTTAAATGTGGTGCAGAGGTCAGGTGATAACTACAACTATCTGCTCTCCAGTTTAAATTATGGTAGGTAGTGTAATACACACATAATGCACAAGTGCTATTGCTGTTTCTTGAATTACAAATTAATCTATATCGCAGCAAATAAGTCGACCCACCATTTTTTATTATGATATAGAAAATGTCTGGTAAGTTGAGTGTATAAGACGATCACAGAAAAAACAAACTATGAAAATTATAAAAATTAATTGACTTGCAATGAATCACTGATTGAAGGAGAAAAAACTCTTACAAAAACAGGAAATATTCGTACTGCTTCGGTAGACATCATTTGGCAAACGATACTAGACGTGTGGCGAAATTTAAGTTCAAATGTTATCGTAAAATATCTTAAAAGGTGTAACATTTTGAATTATTTGGAATGAAGACTACTTTATTGTGGGACAGCAGATCAAGATGAAGTTGAATCCATCACGGAGTGATATATTCATGGGACGGCACTATTAATGTTATTGAATCCGACGCACATGATGCTTTCGAATTTTAGATTTATACCTTTAAATGTTTTCAAGGTGCTATATTTTTTTAAAAATACTTTTGAATACATTATCTTAATTTTTCTTTTTCTTAACTTGTTTTCTAAACGTAATTGGAAGCATTCATTAAAAAAAAATTCTTATTTCGTTGTTTATTATGCACTGTTATTTCCTCAAAGTTAGCCCTTGGAATAAAAATTTTCACGGTGCTTCCTCACAGAAAAGGGCACTCATTTACTACTGTTAAAATTTATGAAAATGTGTAACACCATGTAATATCTGAATTTGATCCTCAATTTTTAAATTACCCTCTTTTACAATTTTACTAGTATATCTTACAATGTAATTCAAACTCATTATCAAAATAACAACAACAAAAAAAAAGCCTTTGGAAAAATAATTAAAGGAGAGCTGAAAGATAATCTGTGTATAAATTTTCTTTACAAAAAAAAACTTAACTTTAAAAAAAAAAAAAGCATTAATTGATAGACAAGTTTTTTTTAATGTTTTAAACTGAAAATTATGAGAAAAATACATTTACAGGTGCATTTTTAAATAAAAGGTATTTTTTTAAAAAAATAATGGTAAATTTTAAAATCACTAGAAATCTCATATTTCTTTACGACATCTTAATCTGAAACAAATAACCTAAAAATACTAAGAAGTTCCATTGTAATTCAGAGCTTAGTTATTGATAAGAAATAATAAAACAGCACAAATTATAAATATTATTAAAACCCTTTTTTAATCACAAAATATTAATTGTTTTGAGTATTACCTTATCTGCTTGTCTTAAGCAGTCTATCCTTCTCATTTTACCCTTTTGATCAGGATTACTTAGAACACAACTGACACGCTTCTTCCCCGTTATTCCTAAAACAAAATCTTCCCTACACTCCTGCGTAATGTCTTTCCTTAATTTACCTAGCAACCGAGATGCCCATTTCTGTTTCACTTCCGTTCTTTCATTCTAAAAAGATACAACAAAACATTTTAAAGTAGTCATAATTATCAAAATACAATAATTAATTACTTATAATTAAGTAAAATTATTAAATAATTGTCATTAACTATCACTAATTAAGCATTATTAATTATCATTAATTAATTAATTACATTTAATTATAAATAATAAATCACATTTCTTTTTTAAAAACATTTTACTCTAAAATGTTTTTAAAAAATTTCAAAGTCCCATGATAGTTATTTGAGAACTTTTTGATTTAAATGGTTGTCCTTCGTACACAGTAGACTGTTATTTGAGCTCCAAGAATATAGTAATTAGAGAACTAAGCTGAAATTATGGCGAGTCAGGGTTCGATCTCAGGTGGCACTAGAAAAATCGACAGCTTCAGATAGTAGTAGCATAACTGTGAAATAAAGGCAGTGTGTGCCTTAGTGAGAAAATTATAGTGCACGACCATAGAAGTGTACAGTGTGCAAAAAAACGGAACAACCTAAATAGCTTTTGATCTGATGATTGGATCTTCACGAAAATTCAAATATCTGACTCATTGAAATTCAATGTTTCAGGAACTATTCACTCGATATTGCACAAATAATGTATTTTGCCATGTTAAATTATATTCCTTAAAATGATGCAAAAATTTATATTCCTTACGCTTCAAAATTTGTTCGACCATTATTAAATAAAATAATAAAAAAATTATAAACATTCGCTACAAATTATTTTTAGCTTGAAATTATCTTTGGATAAACAAATTTCATAATTGCTTGCAAAAATTTTTTAATTCGCTTAAAGGGTTCTCGGGATATAGCGCAATATGCAAAAAGTAAAATTAACATTAAGGGATTAAACTTTTGGATCACTCGCCTGACCAAACTAAGGGGACCATATTTTCCAGATTGCGGCTGTATTATGGGGACCAGAAATCCGAATTCGCTGGGGGAAAAAAAAAATTACCGAGAGAAAGTGTGTTTTTATTTCTGATTTCGTAACTTAAAATATTGTCAACACTAATTAATAAGCATGTCTGAGTCACCCTCTTGAACCATTGAAAATGAGTAGAACGTTAAGAACCAATCATTAGATCAAAAGTTATTCAGAGTGGTCCGTTTTTTTTCTTTTTTTGCTAATTGTACATTATGGCCACAAGTACTGACCAAGCAATGCTGACTGGATTGTCATATTCATGTCGGTCGTCGGTTTAAAAATAGTGGAGCCTTAACCTTCACGACCTTAGGCTGACAACTGGCTTTAGTGGGAGTGCTTTACTTTGCATATTCAATTTTAACATGGGTTTTTATGAAGAGGAAGTACTTTATGTGCTAAGAATTTAATCACAAATTTAAATTAAAAATTTGGAATGACTTCATTACAAATTTCCATTTTACAGTACAGATTAACACTTGAAAAATAATTTACAACAAAATCTATTAAAATATTCACTTCTGTATTTAAACCGAAACCCAACTAAGAAAATTTTCAAAACCAAACTTCATTTTTTTCTTATATTTTTATGCGATTTGATACATAAAACACTGTACTAAAAGTATATGTTGAAACTCCTACGAGTTTTAGTTAGAGTTTTTTATAATACAGAACAGACACTACTTGTTTGAAAAAGTAGCGCACTACACTACAAACTACAGAAAAAAGCATTGACTACAGTAGTTTTATTGCTTGTAGTGGGCTACTTCCGACCACTGATATTACCTAACTAAAAGCTTCATTCGCATAAAAAATATACAAACAGCAAATAACAGTCTGCATGTTTTAAACGCTTAAAAAATAGATGCCTTTTTCAAGAACACGGGAATGTAAAAAAAAAAAAAGTCATTTGAAATTTAAAAAAAAAAACTTAAAGTTGCCAACAAAAAGAGGAAAAACAAAGATTAAAAACAAAACCAGAATAACCACAGTAACTGAGGGAGAAAAAAGGTGGAAAACAGAACGAGAAAAAACACAGTGGCCGAAAGGGTACAAATCAGGGTAAAATGCATTTCCACGCGCCATGAAGAGGTGGAAAGGTGCTAATGTGGTTGACAAGGGAATCAGCATTCATATGAATAAAACAATATTCCAGGGCATCAAGATGCGACTGGGATGGAAATAGTTTCGGCATTGTCGCAATTGAATTTATGCCCAAGATTCTAACAATGTGCAGCAATTAATGTTTTCTTGATAATAGACATATTACATTAGCAGACATTACTGAATTTATATTAAGAGAAATAATGAAGCAATACCTGAAGCTCCTCTTTACATCTCCTTTCCTCCTCTAAACTCATCCTCTTCTCATGTTTCTTAAAGTATTTGCGTTTTGCAGCTTGTAAATTGAACCATGTGTAAGAGAAGGCTTTAACATGAGGCAGGAGTGCCTCAATGAATGGATGGAATTCATCCTGAAAAGATAAATTATTAACCCATTAATTAATCAAGTTTTTAAGTATAAATAAACAATCTGCTAAACAGGGTTCATAGTCAAATTGTTTAGCAAAATATAAGCACCTTTCAAGCATTTTTTTATATTAAAAAATATCTAATTAAGGTATGCAGGTTTTTTTTCTTGTTGTTTAAACTTTTTCACACATACATAACCCTACACTAATGGATGAGACATTAAGTTTTTAACACTTTGTTTCTTAAATTTCTCAAAAAACGCTTATTATTTTATAACAATAAAGGTGTTTAGGCCATGCGATTTCTCATACCCATCAATAAAGTTTTCAGAGGTTTGATGGACTGGAAATAAATGACGAGCAAAAAAAAAAGTGTTTTTGAATAGCCGATGTCAGAAAGTATAGCTATAAACTTGTAACTTGATTCGGTTACTTTGGCTGCCATATGCAACGATTGCATAAAATTTAATAAGGCTAGCTTGAATATTATTAATGGAAATTCGGACAATTTTATTAAAATAAAAATAATTTTTTTTTGCTGAAACTTAAAAATATTCAATGAAATTATTTAAAAAAAATGGAGCAATTTTTAACACCAGGTTGCCTAAAGAAAGTCGAAAGGAAAAGAAGAAGAAAAATGTACAAATAATATTGCCTAAATTAATATTTTCTTTCCAAGTGAAGTAAATTTTTTTATTGTTAATATTTACTAATAACTTGTTATACAACTGTAAATAATATTAAAAAAATATTAAAAATTAATTTTAAGCAAATTTCTTTACATAATAGTTATTCTTTCACAATGCAGTCATTTTGACTGCTTTTGGGCAATATAGGTATATACAGTACAGAACCCGTTATCCGGAAATCAGAAAACCGGAAAACCAAAAAACCGGAACGAAATTCGATAAATTTTCCCGCCATTTTTTAAAATTTTTTTTCTTCTCCTCATAAGATTTTAGGATTTTTCTTTCTTTTTTGAAAGATGTTTACCTTACCATCATTTTGGAAATAATCATTAGTGTATTACTTCATCGTTTTTTCTTCTTTTTAAGATTATATCCAAATTTTTTTTTTTTTCAGTTTGGTTTAACAATTAGAAAAACTGCTTTTTGTAGCGATGCAGAAAACCGGAAAAATCAGTTATCCGGAATAGCGATGGTCCCGATCATTCCGGATAATCGGTTCCCTACTGTACTAAGTTTCAGTCTTTCTAGTGTTAATAAATAAAATTATTATTTTAAAATTTAAAAAAAAAAAGTTTGTTAAAAAATTGAACAAGATATGAGCATTTAAATTAGTACTTTCATATTCCGCATTCGAAAAAAGTATTAAAAAAATTTTCCTATAATTTTGCAGAGAATCGTATTTGGTAATCAATGAAAAAGTTCGATTTTAATACCTTCAAAATTTGAAATGATTCAAGCAAAGAAAATTAAGCACTTTTTACAAATACCCAAAGAAACGGAAATAAAACGGAAATTTAAAAAAAAAAGCACCTTTAAAGCAGTTTTTAAAAACGCTATGCACCTTGAGACATAAATGAACAGTTCTTGTTAATCTGCTTAGGAAATTGTTATGAAATAATCTATTTTTTTCAACACAACAAAAATAATTACGAAATAGTTACAAAATTGCATTAATTTAAATGAAGGAAAAATAATCTGAAAACAAAAGTAAGACAAGTTTTGAAACTTTTTAACCCTTTGGCGCAGGTGAGGACACCATTGTCTCTTTTATAAATTTTTTCAGATGCTGCAAATCACAAGTTAAAAAATTTTCTAATAGTTATTAAAAATATCGGTTTGATGATCGGAATTTTAGTTGAATTACAATATAAAATCCCTGTAAAGTAGTAGGAAATTTTTTTCCCCCTCCCTTCATATTCAAAAATTTATGGCGTCCTCCCGAACCCTTTTTGTTATTTCTGTGTGGATCACGTCATCATGGATGGTCATCACTGCAGAGCGCTCCGTGGGAGTTCCTTGGTCCAGCGTTATTGGGAGGCTCGAGGCCGAATGAGACAATGACTTTTTCGTTGTTTTCTTTTTTTTTTTGCTCATGTCTTTTTTTCCCTTTGTGTCAAGTTCTCTGCCATTGGAAATAAAATATTCAAAAATTTATTAATAATTGATTTTATTATAAATTAAAGAAATTTTAATGATGAATAACTGTTTGATCAAAATAAGTGCAAATTTGAAAAATTATTTTTATGGTAGTGAGTCGCGTTTAAAAAATTTTACCTTTCACGCAGAAAAAAAACAACGATGTTTCACTCTGTATTTAACCTTAAATATTTACACTGCTAAATATAATATTTTTCATTTATTTTATCCTAAATTAATACGAAATAATGAAAAGAGTATTAAAACTATATTTAATAAAAATTCTGCGTGAAAGGGTAAAAAAAATATAAACATTATTGACATGATATTCCAGCATGTACAAAATCAGAGGAGATTTTTGTCTGTGGCAGAATGACCGCCAAGTTTTGACAACTTCAGGGGCAGTGGCCCGCGAGAAATTAAAATAAACACAGAAAGGGACCAACTCGAAGGGTATAACTCATAGCCACCATCGACATTTTTTTCTCCTTTATTTTTAAATTTTTTTAATTTGGCGCCTTGGCGATTGTAGTTAGCGTGGCAGATCACGATGCAGAAATATCCTCTAAAATCATATTTAACCAGCAAGTTTTTCCATAGAACAAACTCAATTCTCGGTATGTAATTTATTATACCAATAAATTTAATGCCACAGTATCAAAAGGTATCACATATTTTTAAAAATATTAAATATTTTTCTTCCTTTCTTGTCATTAATCTTTATTATTTTCCATGTTTTCTCGATATTTTTTACTTATGAGTTTTATATGATTACAGCTTATGAGCAGTAAATAAAATTTATTAATTTTCTTCGTTTTTCTTTTTATTCTTTTTACCTTCAATGTGCTAGATTATATATATAAATATATATATATATTCATCTTGAATAGGAAATAAAAATGTTAATAAAAAATGAGTAATTAAAAAATTATAAAATAAAAATTATAATCTCCATTTCTGATTTATTAAAATTAAATCCATAAAACATTAAAAAAGAGCTACAAACATTAAAAAAGCTAAATAAAAATAATAAAAAACGCTTTTTACAACCTTTTTTTTTAAAATAAAAAATAAAGATTAGACACACCACACCATAAACTAACTACATTCATATCATCCAAAAACCAAGCTCAACAATCCGTCACACTTCATTCACTAGCAAGTTGTAGGGGTAGTGAAATTATGCGTGGAGAAAAAATAAAATAAAAAAGCAATCCGTTAAAAAAAAAGGAACAATCCGAGAGTGACGCAATCGCATAATAGCAAACACAGGTAAATAAAATAAGAGGTGTGATGCCGCTCTTGGCCTTCAAACAGAGAGAGAGGTGAGAAGATAGAAGAGACCAGACAGGGGCTACTATTACCAGCTGGACTTTCAGGCAGTACGTGGAACGAGATCTCCACAAGGTCGCCCGCACGAACGAAAATCTTTTTCTAACGCGGAAGCTGATCTGCCAGAAGGCCAACTGGGTGAAGAACGTCACGTGACTCTGATCCACAACTGCACTCTCCCCTCCGTGATCGTATAGATTCGATTTCTCCGAGAAACTCCCATAACAAAATAGAATTTAAGCCTGATTGCATTGCATTCGACAACGAAAAACTAAGTTTTTCTTTTCTTTTTTTTTTACAAAGAAAGAAAGTGAAAGAATAGATTTTTAGAGAACACTGATTTCATATTTAAATTATATCGTTAAGCTTAAAAAATTAAAGGGAAAAAAAAAACACTTATTTTTAAACATCATAAATATGCGTAGCTGCCAACATGGATAGGAAAAAAACCAGTAGATTTTAAGAAATATAAATTTCATGATAATTGATGCATAATGTACTAAATATTTTACACATAGGGGATTTTTATAGTCATCAAAAAAGAAAAACTGCAAAATTTTCCAATCATGATTATCGTTAAATAAGCTTGAAATGCTGTGTATCATGTTTACTCATAACTTTGAATAATAATTAAGATTTTTAATTTTAAAAGAGAGTTCTGAATAAAACGAGTACTACGAATAATGTTTTCAAACGTAGCAGCGTATGAAATGAATTTTATAATTTTAATGAGCGTTTAAATTTTACGTAAAGTTTTAAAAACCACTAAGTTTAACGACATAATGTCTCAACTCTACATTATAATCATAAAAGAAAAAATCACTTTTTGATATACTCAGCGTTTACAAACAGTCCAAACGATACAATTTGGATGGCTCAAACATAAATACTAATTTTTTCGGGAAATATTTGCTTGATATTTATTTATTATTATTTTTTTTTAAGAATTAAAGCTTCGTTTCACTAATTAATTATAAGGTTCTTACTTATGGTAGAAATAATATCATACTATGGTTATATTTTAGTATATTACTATTATTACAGAGGCGCACACAATTCCGATTGTACCACAGATACACTAAAGAACTGACCAAAATTTGAGAGATTTAGTACGCTCATCTACGTAATGCTCCTCGCAAATTCTCTTGAGAACTGGAAGTACTAAATCTCGTTATAATCGTTAACTTGTTTAACTCAAATATATAACAGGGAGATGAAAAATAAATAATTTCGTAAGAGTTTTAATTGTTAAGTTAAAAATTGCTAATACATTTAAAAAACAAATCGATTATACGAACGCAATGGGGATAGCTACACATTAGATTTATTAAAAACGAGTCAACATTTAAACGCAGAATTCCACAATACTTATTCATGATGTCATATTGTTGCACCATACTCAACGAAAATTATCTACTCCATTAACGGAAACGTTAAGTAAAAATTAACTTGGCGATTGTATAAACATGGATGTTTATTCAGGGACGCGGTTACGATTTTACCAAGGTCATCGCGATGTTTCTAGGGCGGTTATTCTAAGGAAGGACCTAGTTTTCCGAAGAGTCA